CATGCCATCCTAGCCCACACAGCGAATACAGAACATTGACAGCACTCCAAGGTCCTCTGTACTCTTCCTGTCCCTTCCCTGAGTCATTACCATCCACAGATCATGTTGCTGGTTTTATTCGTTTATGAATTCTGCCAGACATAGAGGAATTCTGTCATCTATGCCTTATTCTACCACTTTTAAAACACAGCCCATTTGTTCTTAAGATTTATGCTATGGTTTTATGTGGGATAGTGTTATAAACTTGTGGCTATTAGACTCTGTCTTGATAGACACACTGGGGAGGATGAAGTGTCTACCCTAAAGAACCCGCATGAGTGTTCTCGTATACATTTCTTCTGCACGGTGATAGTGCTAGAATTTTTCTGTAAGTGGAAGAGCTGAGTGGCAGGGGTCCATGTATATCCCTAGTGGCTGCTTGCACATTAGGCCAGGTGACAGTGGAAACCAGCTGCAGGACTGTTCCATGATGTAGAAGAGAAAAGACAGTTCCTGATGTTAGATGAGAGGCTGTGAGGCAAGGTCTGGCTGGGCCTGGGGACCCTCATGGCATTACCAGACCTTATGAGAAGGTGGATTTATGGCTAGCCTGCCTCCAGGCAGGGGTTCTTGTCAGGGATACTTATGTCTGCACTTGTGTGAGAAGAAGGCCTCAGTGGTCTGAGCCCTGAGCATGTATATGCTTCATGGTGGATGTTTGAGAAACCATTGTAGAGGTTTGGGCTATTGTTTTGCTTCTCTTCATCTCTAGGAATATGCTGGGTCTTCCTGCTGATCAGCAACTGGGTCTTGCTGTTGTCAGCAATAGGAAGTAAGCATGGGCTGGTGTTCCAAGACTGTCCCTCCTATCTTCAGAGTATCACAACAAGGGGGTTGTCAGCAAGGCCACTGGCCTTGAACTCACAACCTTTCTGCTGCAGCCTTCTAAGGGCTAGGATTGAAGGCCTGTGCCAGCATGTCTTGCTGACACGGCATCTTTACAGATAGAAAGCCCAACAGCAGACCAGCTATGAAATACTTCTTGGATCACATGGCAGTGAAGCTGTGGCTTTTCATGACATGGGTGGCCTCTTATTTAATCTTTTTGAATTTCTCCTAAAGATTTCAAAGTGTAGAAGCTACAAATAACCCTGTCCATCTGTACTTTCCTTGGCTGCTGTAGCAGGTATGCTAGGAGTTTTCTCCTAGTCGCTGCATCTGTGGGCTCCACAACCCTTGGGTGCAGCTGGGCCTGGTGAGCAGGGCTGCTGTAGAGTACAGCAGAGTGCTGAGGTGTCACTTTGTTGGCTAGATGGAGAGCAGCTCCCCTCCCTGAAGGCCACATGTCAAACAGCTGTCTGTGGTCAGCAGGCAGCTGGGACTGAAACTGTCTCATGGGATGATGTATGGTGCTGCCCCTGTTGCCATGTGCTACCCAGTACCTCCAGCACTAGCCAGCAAGTATACTTGCTGGCTAGTGCTGGAGGTCAGCCCTGTCCTTCTAAGGACTCAACTGCTGGTCTAGGGATGATCTGTGGTGGACACAGTCATATAGGACAAGGTTGTTCATGCTCTTGTTCTCTCCTGCCTTTCTGAGGCTTTCCTCCCCTCCCTGTCCATCTTTTTTAGCTTGAGGTCTTCCAGCTGCATCCCCTGTCCTCACAAGCCTTTACATAGCCTTACCTGGGCTTATTCTCCTGACACACAAATTTGGCCAGGCTACCCTATCACAATCTGATCCTTCTGGACATCTGTTTTTTACCCACTTCAGCCTGAAATGATCCATTTGCTTCTCTATATCCTCCTCTGTTCTTCCCATTCACTGGTGGCATACACTTACCCATGTGGCTGTAGGAGTGGGTGCCCTGGCTGTGAGTGACATGGAGTCTGCAGCCTGCTCCTTCCTGGGTGGGTATCCACACTGTCTCTCCTGGAATGCTACTGGGCTTACACCAGGAAAGAACCAGTACTGCACTCATGGACAATTTGGTGCCAGGAAATTGACCATTGTCCCATGTAGAAACTTTGTTCATCTGGGCCAGCAGTACAAGGAGCTGCTTTTTGGCAGCAGGAAGTAGCAGTAGGAACATAATATGTACAGAAGGGTCTGAGCCATGTTCCCAGGGGAGAGACAGCATCTAGAACCCAGACAAGCCTCCAGTAGCTTCTCTGTGATTGGTGAGAGGTCTGTGGTAATGACAGTCTTCCCTAGGAAGGGAAGTCAAACTTCTGACCTCTTTGCTGATGGCGGCCCCGAGTTCAGGTCTGTCTCCTACCCTCCAGGGTTCCAGTGCTGGACCAAGGCCTATGTACCTCCTGCTTGATGGTATCATGAGCCCTGCACTGTTGTGATGATCCAGGGACTCAGATTATGTCTGACTGTCCTGAGACAGGGTGGGAGCATTGATGTTGGCCTGGAACAGCTGCACATGTTCCCAGCATGCTGTCCTGGTACTGTGACTATTTGAGTTTCTTTTCAACTTGTTGTGACAGAGTATTCTGATAAAGGCAACTTCAGGTAGAAAGGGTTTGCTTTGTCTCACAGCTTAAGATTGTGGCCATCACAGCAGAGCAGACAAGGTGGCAGGCTTGAAGCAGTGACCACACTGAATCTGCAGTCAGGAAGCAGGGAGTGGTGAATGTCTGCATACTAGTGTTCAACTAGCTTTCCCAGTTTTATGCAGTTCAGGATCCTCTGCAGGGAATGGCCTCACCCTTGACTAAGATGGGGTTCCCTAGCTGGGCAGGGGTGGAGCATGCCTTTGGTCCCAAAAGCTGCAGAGGTAGATCAGTCTCTGAGTTTGAGGTCAGCCTGGTCTACAGAACTTGTTCCAGGACAGCCAGGGCTACACAGAGAAACCCTGTCTCAGGGGAAAAAAAGATGTGATTCCCCACATCATTTAATACAACCAAGATAATTCTCTACAGGTATGCAGAGGCACATTTTATTGGTAATTAGTTGAACATTAGGGAAAAACTGAGGAATTTTTGCTGATGACACTTGCTTTGGTGTCATAAGGACCTCTTAATTGTCTCCTGATAGCTTCCAACCAGCTGGTGCCCAGGAACACCTTGCTCTGCCCTCTGGGCGGGAATTGTACTATAATCAAGAGTTCTGTCTCCCACCTGCTCTGCCTACCTGAGCTCTGGCTTACAGAGATGGGATGGTGCTGATTCTACTCCACCATTTGCTTTGATTATGCTCAGTCCCCATAGATACATTAATCTCTTTCCCCTAGTGGTGTGATTTGGTATTTAGTGCTTTCTTGTCACACAGTCTTAGAAGGTTGCAAAGCTGAGCATGAGCTGGACCATAAAATAAGTCTCAGAAGTGACAAATGGTGCGTGGCCTGTTCTTAATCCCAGTGCAGGCAGACTAGAAACAGCAGCACCTGGCAGCTCAGTGAACTGTGCCTTGCTAACTCATCCAGCTCAGAGAAGAAATCCCCTTGGAAATTAAGAAGTGTTTTGAACTGAATGGTAATGAAAATACCTGCCTAAATGTGTAGGGTGTGGCAAAAACTGTCATTATGTTTTGAGTCTGAAACACTCCCCATAGGCTCAAGTTTTAAATGCTTGGTCCTTAGCTGTTAGTTCTGCTTTGGGAAGCTGTCATGGACTCCATCAGGCAGAAGTTAGGGCCTCAGTGTGGCTCTTTGAAGGTTATACCTGTCCATGGTTCCACCCTTACACTCTAATTCTTGCTTTACCACCGTGTGAACAGCTTCCGACACTCATTACTTCCACCGTGATGGGCTGTGACCCTCGGCAACTGCACCAAGTGATCTTCCTCCCTAAAGTTGTTCTCTCTCTCTCTCTCTCTCTCTCTCTCTCTCTCTCTCTCTCTCTGTGTGTGTGTGTGTGTGTGTGTGTGTGTGTGTGTGTGAGAGAGAGAGAGAGAGAGAGAGAGAGAGAGAGAGAGAGAGAGAGAGAGAGAGAGAGGGAGAGACAGACAGACAGACTAGGCTGGCTGGCTGGCCAGTGAGCCTCAGGGATCTGCTTGTCTTTGCCTCCCAAACACTGGGTTTGAAGATGTAGCACACTCTGCCCCAGCCTTCATGTAGGTGCTGGTAATCTGAACTCAGGTCCTTGTGTTTGTGTGACAGGCCTGTTGACATGGGCTGTCTCCCCAGCCCCAACAATGTGCAAACAAGGAAAGTGAAATGTCATCTCAGGTTGGACAAGAGCCATAGAACAGGGTCATAGGAGGCAGAAGCTAGGCAGTAATCAAGGTTAAAAGAGTTAATCTAACAGTAGATAAAGGGAGTACTTACTCTCAGCTGATTTTGTGAGGCCACTATAACCTTGGAACCAAAAACTCCGAGGAGAAATTTGGGAGATAGCTAATACTAAATGTAAGAATCCTAAACAAGATATTAGCAATTTGAGTACAGCAATTTTTATTTTAGGGACACATTGTTGTTATTTAAATTTTTAATTCTGTTTCTCTCTCTCTCTCTCTCTCTCCCTCTCTCTCTCTCTCTCTCTCTGTGTGTGTGTGTGTATGTGTGTGTGTAACTTACCACATTAACAGTAAGGCAGAGCCCGGCGTTGGTGACGCACACCTTTAATCCCAGCACTTGGGAGTCAGAGGCAGGCGGATCTCTGAGTTCAAGGCCAGCCTAGTCTCCAGAGCGAGTGCCAGGATAGGCTCCAAAGCTACACAGAGAAACCCTGTTTCAAAAAACAACAAAAAACAATAAGGCAGAAAAAATTACATATCTCTCAATAGACAGGAAAGGCATTTGGTAAAATTCACTACCCATATATAATGAAACAAGCTACCAATGTAAGAGTGGAAAGGAGCCCCTGGGCACCACAGTTCTCAGATTGGCCTGATGTGCATCATACTAAGCTTTCCCTTTGGGACAGGGACAACACACAAGTGCCTGCCTTTCTATTTAAAGTTGTAGTGACAGTGTAATTGATACACACAGGAAATAAAAACAATAAAAAATGTGGAATGCTTGCAAAAAAGAAACGAAATGTTACTATTCTCAAGTGATTAAAAATTATCACAGGTGTTGTATGAAAGGAGAGAAAGTTAGCACTCCCCTTAACAAGGATGGACGAGGCCCTTGGGCCTAACAACATGCATACGGTTAAGGCATTGACACCTACTTCTCGTGGCATCTAACCACTGTTTTTAGCCAGGCATTGGTGGCGTACGCCTTTAATCCCAGCACTGGGGATGGGAGGGGGCAGAGGCCAGCCTGGTCTACAGAGCAAGTGCCAGGATAGGCTCCAAAGCGCCACAGAGAAACCATGTCTCGGGGAAAACAACAACAACAACAAAAAATTATCACATAAAATCCCAACTGATAGCTCAGTTTCTCAGCATAGATTTAGCAAGGTTGCTGCATACATGGGTACTGTACAACAGTCAGTTATGAACGCAGCTAGAAAATGATCTCTAGATGCAATGCATGCATTCTTTTTCAAGTTTAAGTTAACATAGAATTGTATCAGTTGTATGTGTTTATCATGTGATAGAGTATTTGCCTAGCATGTGCAGGACCCTGGGTTCCATCTCAGTACACACACACACACACACACACACACACACACACACACACATTTCAGTTTAAGACCTGCTTCAGGCTTTGTGTTTTCCTTTTGTGTATATGTAGGTGCTTGTGTGTGCACTTGTGTGTGGAGATTGGAAGACATCCTCAGGTGTCATTCCTTATGCATTGTATAACTTCTTTTTGTGACAGGATCTCACTAACCACCAGCTTCAGGCTCCAGGGGCTTCAGGGTCATAATATGTCACCATAAAAAAAATATGGGTTCTGGGGATGGAACTCAGGCCCTGGTGTGTTGCAAGGCAAGCACTTGACTGACCAAACCATCTTCACAGCCTGATGATGGCATTTGAACTGATTTTTTGTTTGTTTTGCTCAGACCAAGTCTTGCTGTGCCTGGCTTGCAGATCAGCTCCTGAGTCTGGGTGGCAGTTTGAGCAGTGAGAAGTGGGATGGTGAGGCTGAGGGTAGGCAACCTAGGAAACATCAGGTCCCCTTACCAGCAAGTAAGCATCTTTGATGACTCAGGGATCCCTAACGTGGCCTTTTCTGTCTGTGGAGCCAAGAGATAGGGATACAGGTGCTTATAAAAAGCTCTTCCTAAGGGTGCTGGGGATACCGGTCATCTCTGATAATTTATCAAGGAGCCCTTGTTCATGTATGGATTTTCTGCTTTTCCAAAACCCTGTAGATTCTAGGAAGCACGAGACAGACTCACCAAAGTACACAGGAAGGAAAAATATCTGGGGAAGTCTGGGTTGAAGCAGCTGCACTACTGGTGGTGTTTAGCCTGGCATGCTGGCAGCCAGGAAGGAAAGCCAGCACTGGCTGAGGCCTGTACACTATGGACCCTCATGGTTGGAGCAGCTTTGGTCCTGAGGATTGACTAGTGACTGAAAGAGTTGAATGCTTTGTGCTGGCCCAGGTGATGAGAGGTTGTAGGACTAGGTAAGTTGAGCTGGAGCCTCAGCATAGCCTGAAGCTCAGGGAAGGCATAGCCATGGAGCAGCTGGAAGGGATGCATAGACCTGCACCCCATGAAGCTTCATCTTCAACACTCCTTGACTACAACACCCATAGGTTGAAATGTGATGATCCCTGGCTGTGAAGAGGTGGTCAGGAACCACCTTACATTGAAAACCATAGATCTGTGTGCACTGGGGAAATAAAATGTATCAGGCTTTCTTTTGGGCCACCAACCAGCTCCCACATAAAGGCACGGAGACATAATATTAGTTATTAATGCTTGGTTTTAGCTTATGCTTGTCGAACTCGCTCTTTTTTTTAAAGGTTTTATTTATTTATTATTATATAATATATCTGCATACCAGAAGAGGGCACCAGATCTCATAATGGATGGTTGTGAACCACCATGTGGTTGCCAGGACCTCTGGAAGAACAGCCAGTGCTCTTAACCTCTGAGCCATCTCTCCAGCACCCCCGCACTAGCTCTTATAACTTAGTTTAACCTATTTCTCTTCATCTATGATTTGCCTTGGGGTTTTTTTTTGTTTGTTTGTTTTTACCTTTCTTTCATTCTATTTGTCCTGCTCTGTATGTGGCTGGTTGGCAGCAGCTTTACTAGCTGGCCCTGAGCATCTCCCTCTTGTTCTCTCCTTTCATTCTATTTTCTCTCTCCTACTTATTCTCTCTGCCCACTAGACCCACTATCCCTCTATGGCCTAGCTATTGGCTGTTCATCTTTTTATTAGACAGGTTAGGTGCCTTAAGTGGGCAAAGTGAAGCAGCAACACATCTTTTCATAATTAAACAAATACAGCATAAACAAATATAACACACCTTTACATAGTTAAAGTAATACTCCACAACAGTAAGAGGCATTGCTCACACTGAATAAACTCACACTATTAAAGTCTTGTAGTTGTTGTGGGGCCACCATGGAAGTATGAGGAAAGACTTGCCATCCTCCAAGGCCTTGCCTGGCTCTGATCACTGTGACATTAGTGTCCACAGCAGTCACTACACCTTGAGGTCTCTTGGCTGTCTACTTGTCTTGTCCTGAGTGCACCCTATGATCCCATGCTGAGCTTTTGGTACTGGGTCCTCTAGTAGATACTCAGGAGATATGGGTGTCCTTGTTCCACATGGAGATGGCAAAGTTCCTGTATTTCTTCCTTTATAAGTTAGAACCTGGGGCAAGAAGCCAGGTGTACTGTGTACAAGACCATAAGTGTGTGAGGACTACAGCCAGGACATTGCCCTAACAGGCAAGTCCTGATTGCATATTAGTCAGTTGTCCCTTTCAGGAGACTTTAGGAGCTGGCTGGTAGGGCAGCCTCCTGTCATCCCACACTGTTCCTTTGAATGACACTGGGGCTAAAATCCCTTCCCAGGTGAAGATGTAAGCACTATCTAGCCCCTTCTTCTAAGGTCCCAATGACAGGCCAAGACTGTATTTCCCCAAAATTCACTCTGGGGAACCAGTGAGTTTATTGGGCTCTGTGCTGGCTAGTTTTGTCAACTTGACACAAGCTAGAGTCATCAGAGAGAAGGGAGCCTCATTTGAGAAAATGCCTCCAAAAGATTGGAACTTAGGCAAGCCTGCAAGGAATTTTCTTAATTAATTATTGATAGGGGAGGGCCCAGCCCATTGTGGATGGGGCCATCCCTGGGCTGGTGGTCCTAGGTTCTTTAAGAAAGCAGGCTGAGCCAACCTGGGGACAAGCCAGTAAGCAGTACCCCTCCATGGTCTCTGCAGCTCCTGCCTCCAGGTTCCTGCCCTGTTTGAGTTCCTGTCCTGACTTCCTTTGATGAGGAACAGTGATATAGAAGTATCAGCCAAACAAACCCTTTCCTCCCCATGTTGCTTTGGTCATGTTTTTTTTTTTTAATTTGTGTCTTTTTTATTTATTTATTATGTATACAACATTCTGCTTCCATGTAAATCTGCTCACCAGAAGAGGGCACCTGGTTGTGAGCCACCATGTGATTGCTGGGAATTGAACTCAGGGCCTCTGGAAGAGCAGTCAGTGCTCTTAACCTCTGAGCCATCTCTCCAGCCCCTTGGTCATGTGTTTTATCATAGCCATTGTAACTCTGACTAAGACTATGCTCCCTTACAGAGCATAGATGAAGGGTTAGTTAAAGGGATGTGGTTCCTCATACCATGTGCAACAAGCAGAGTTGCATAACCAGGTGGTAGGGAGAGACAGGATACTCAGGTGAGAGGGCTTGTGACCCTTCCCACCCCTCCGTGAGAGTATGTAAACAGTCAATAAGTACAACTGGGACAATCCTTTTGCTGGGGAGGGGCCCTGATGGACTCCTCAGATGGCTCTTGCCAGACTGTGAAGACATTCACAATAGGAAGTGAGGTGCTCAGGAGAGATTTGAGCCCAGAGAACTGCTATCCACATGTGGCACAGTGAACAGGCAGGGTGGTAAAATGAGACAATAAGCCAGGCTGTCTGGCTGAACAGTGGGACATGGCTATTTTGAGAAGGGGGGCTTATACCAAAGCCTTCCATAAGGAGAGGGAACCAACCACAAGGAACTCAGGTCACAGGCAGTATGTCTGAAGGACAGGGAGGGCTGGGGTGAAAGTTTGGATCTTATTATTGGTGTGATAGAGCTTTGGGTAAGTTTTTAGCAGGGAGCTAGGGGAGAGAAACTGCCCTTGGGCTTGGTATGGATGGTCCATACTCTTGCTTACGACTCAGTAGGGCTCTGCCTGTGAGAGCTTATATGCAGTCACTCCCTGGAAACTTAGTGTGGTTATGTTTAGAAGGGCCTTTGGCCAGCAAGTTGAAGCTGGATAGGGACCTGGCAACTAGCCTGGAGGGCAGTGCAAGAGGGAAGGACCCACAGTCTGCACAGCCGTTGGGAGTTCAGGTGACACTGTCCTGGGCTGGACAAAATGCAATCTAGAGGAAGCTGTCATATTTCCATGAAGCTGCAGCCATAGACTTGGGGGCAAGATGCATATAAGGTGTTTGTGGAGTTCTGGGAGCTGAAGCTGATGCTCTGGGCTGGAGCCCAGTTAATAGTCATAGCTACATCACCCAGGCCTGTATCTCAGCTGTTCTTTTTTTTTTAAATTTTAATTCTAATTATTATTATTATTATTTTTGGTATTATGTTGGCATTGGGTAGTTCAGGCAGGATTGGAATGGCTTGTAAAGCTGAGTGTGTGTCCTCTGGGCCCTTCATAGAGAAGCTTGCTGTGTTCTGCTCTTGAGTTTTCTGTAACTGTGTAGGTAGAGCTTATAGGGCTATAGCAGGATAAAACCCTGTCTACCTCCCTGTGGCTCTGGATTGTTTAGTAGCCAGTTAAATAATTGAATGAATTAGTGAGTGAGTGAGTGAGTGAGTGAATTTGTGGTGTGTGTGTGTGTGTGTGTGTGTGTGTGTGTGTGTGTACATGCTTGTGCCACAGCATGAGTGTGGAGAAGATCAGAGGACAACTTGTGGGATTCAGTTCTCTCCTATTGTGTGGGTTACAGGTATGGAACTCATCAGGCTCAGTGGGTACATTTATCCAATGAATTATTGTCCTGATGGCCCTTGTTTTGTTTTTTGAAACAAAGTTTCACTATGTAGCCTGGCTGGCTCTAAATTTGTAGCAACTCCTTTGCTTCTGCCTCTGGAGTGATAGAATTACAGG